TCCAAGACTGGTTGACAAATCAAAACATACCATTTTTAAACACAATGTTTAAAACAGAGCTATTGAGTATTGTTGCTCGGTACATAATGCTTCTTAATTATATATATTTTGGTCGACAGTTTTTATTTCTTTTGTTTATTCCTATTCTTAAAATAACTGCTTTTTTAGAAACAAACCACCTAGAATATACGTGATTGATGAATTGGCGGAACAACATGGGCACAAAGTTCTTCGTCTGCCTCCTTACCATTGTATATTTAACCCTATTGAGTTAATTTGGGGCATAGCAAAAGGTTACTATAACAGACATATTGGTAGAGATGGTAACAGTGAAAAAGACTGTTTGGATATGTGGAACGAGGCTCTACAAACGGTTACCCCAGACATGTGGAAAAATAGTGTTCGACATACTGAGCAAGAAATTTTTAAATGGTATGAAAGAGAACGAATTTTTGATCGACCAGACATCGAACCTTTAATAATCAACTTTGAGAGTGATGAAGATTCAGATTCAGACAGCGCTGAAGAAAGAAACTCCGACTAACTTTATTGTACAGAAAAAGCTTACACCAGTAGCTTACCTAATTTTAGAATGCATTTTTCTGTATGAATTCTGTAAAATAAATACCATGCATAAAATTTGGAGGACCCCATTTGGATTTTTATTCAGTACCTTTAAGCTATCAATTAAATATGGTAGTTTCATAGTGTCATCTGATCAATAATTGTCATACTTAATGATTATGCAAGTACAGATCTATAATTTTATTATACTATTATTTTTGTTCTCATTTCAGGTTAATATTGCTTATAAACCTAGATATGTAAATAATAAATTTTATTATTTTACAAAAAGTTTGGCAACAATGTAAATTTTTCAACACACCCACCTTGATGACGTGCACGCCACTTTGTTTGGCGTTGACTATAGAGAGCTTTTATGGCTGAACGGTTCTTTAACCAAAAGCTTATACCACTTTGCTAGTTGGGGTATGAATAACAAGAGATCTAAAACTGTAATAATAATAGCGCATCGTGCATATTTTGAATCCAAGATTCATTATTGAATATTAGCGTGGGGTCATTCACCACATGCTTCAAAAGTGTTCACGGTTCGAAGGCGATGTTTGAGAGTTATAGATAATAAGTATTTCAGAGATTGCTGCTTGATTGATTTTAGAATATTGTCTCAAGCCTGTATATACTGGAATGCTCATTGTATGTTAAATAAGCCTATAGTGATTTGAGAATTGCGAAGGATACGCAAAAATACAATACTAGATTTAACGACTACATGGATCCGGATTATATGGATACTATGGCGCAAAATTTTTTAGTGACATTTCACAGTTTTGTCGGATCTTGATGACAAGAATTTTAAAAAGATTATAAAGACGTACCTACTAACTAAAGTGTCTTATAGTTTAGATGAAGTTTTAGAGAATGATTTTAGTGACATGCCATAAGTGATAATTCATTGTTGTTGTGTATTTATTGATCTTGGTCAGTCCCTACTACAGGTACTTACTTTTCCATCTCTTATTTTATCTTCATTTAGTAACAGACGTTGTCCTGTCTTGGGGCCGTATCGTCAGTCGTTCATACAATTGTAGAACGCTTTTATAGACTCCTTGATATTCATAGTTTTCTACTGTTCCGTGCCAGCGTTCTATTTTGAGGTTATGTTACACATAACTATTAGCATCAAATTGTTCATGCTTTTGATTTATATCATCTGTTGTATCAACCTGAAATTTCCTACGATTCAAAAAAATGCCCTAGCCTCACAATAGGAGAGCGATGATGCTGACACGGAGCAGTAGAGATCTAGAAATTACCCAGCCTTTGTGAAGACGAGAAAATACTATGAAAATCAAGGAGGCTATAAAGGCGTCCTACAATTATAGGAACGACTAGCGATACGGCCCTTAGCTATGAATTGGAATGAATAATGAATAATAGAAGGGTAAATATCTGGAAAATAGTTAATTGTATAGCGAAGTGTTTGTACCGCCATGTGGCTAGCAAAATACGTTGGCAGTACTGTCATTCCCCCATCCTTGAAATTAGGCTTAAAATTATATATATATATATATTATATGACGTCATTTGAAAGCAATTATTGTATTGATGGATATGAGGCTCATTTCTGGAAAACGAATGTGTAGTGACTCTGGTGGTGCTACTAATGGCCCAATGGAGTCAACTTGATCTTTCCAGTGATGCAACATAATCCAGGGGCTTCATTTTTAAACGTTCATTGGTTCAATAGCAACGATTTGTTGTGAACTCTAATCAATTGCCACGTCATAATTGAATGCAGCGCGATTGGGATTATATGCGACACTTCTACTTACACAACTACGTTTTCAGTTTGACTTCCTCGTATATAGCTTTGACTTGCAGCATTGCGACTTTTGATACCTACGTTAGTACGTCTGATTGTTGGAATTTTGGAGAATCACAATTTTAATATAAGGCGCGATTGCGGTGAACTAACTTCCACCCTTGTTAATTATTTTTGAACAAATACTTCTGAAAAAGAACAAACTGAAATCAACTGGATAAAAGCTCTAATCGAATGGACTCTGAACACCACTAATTGAATAAAACAATATATGTTCATCGATTAGCACTGTTAACCGATTATATAAATTTTCGGCGGGCGAGCTGTCAAGTTCAAAATGATAGAGTAGTGAAAGTCAATTAAGCAGAAGAATTCTATTCATATCCGTTCATATTCGTCAATATTTCATTTGAAGCTTTTATGTATCATAAGATTTTAGCAAAATGTAAGATAGTAAAGGCAACACCGTACCCTGCAGCCCAGTTGACAAGAACGACAAGCTGTCAAGATTAGGGATGTTTGGATCCACGCAAAGTATCGATATGAATCGATTCTTATTGTTTTAGGAAGTATCGATACTCTAAAATATTGGACTAAAATTATCGGTATCCAGCGGAAGGAAACAAAGAAGAAAAGTAATCTGAAGTTAGTCACCCTTTCTGACACAGTCCGGATCGAAAGATGACGATAATCGTGAAATGTGTCGATACACCCAAGTGTCGTATATAAAAATATCGATCCAAAGTATCGGAAGCAAAAGTATCGATACTTCTAAATATAGGATCGTATCGAACATCCCTACTGTCAAGATGTATAACCCGATGTACTGACGGAGCTATTTTGGGGCGTCATGGAAATAATTTAAAATTTTCATTTGCATTTTTTCAAGTGTTGTGCAATGATTTTGGGAAAAATGTCACGAATAGTCTTATAAAGCATAGTAGAGTATATTTCAACAGTTGGCGGAACTTACTCCACTGGGACCAGGAGGGTGAAACGGGATATTAATGCACAATCTGGCAACCCTATCGCACCCTCACAAAATGGCCGCTGATAACCAGACAAGTCACCGTGTGAAAAATTGAAAAAAATGAAAAATTTTTCGGTCATTTTAATACACTACAGGTACAGTAGAGGGCGCCCTCTAGCGGCTACAGTAAAACTATGCCCATGGTTCGTTTTGTCGTACCAAAAACCCTTGTATACCAATGTTCACTGTTATACATCAAATATTGTTCGAAATATTTAAAAAAAAAACTATTTTAGAAAGTAAATTTAAACACCCTGTATTTCGGAAGCCACGCATTTTTCGACCCATGTTTATATACTCGTACACTTTATGCATTAATTTTAAAAGTTCTATCGAATCTTAAAGTTATGCAACAATAAACTGAAACACCCTGTATAGTGTGGATGTTTGTTCAGTTCCTCAACAACCAAAAAATATTGGACTTCATGGATGTATGGATATCAAAAATCCTGCGTGGTATTGTGGGAATATCAATCGACGGTGCTATAATGGTACTGATGAACGGCAAGTAAATGAATGAATGTTTGGAAACGAGCAATATCTATGAAATTTTTGGTAGAGCCTCTCATCAAGTAGGTGCTTAATGGCTATCTGCAAGAGGTTTATAGGAAAAAAATACACGGTAGGTGATGTTGAATCAGTAAATTCGCATATCAGTTGAAGAAAATAATATAAACATGAATAAACAATCTACAATATCTATTAAAAACATGAATTTTTTCCAAAAATCGAACACTTTTTTAAATTTGGACTAAAGCATATGTAATTTCTTAAGATTCAGTAAGCTGGTGATGTTTCAATGACAAGCTCTCGTACTTTGACAGTATTTTGTTTTCAACATTTCATAGCTATTGGTTGCTAAAATTTGTTGATTGTAACTTGAAACTCATTCGCTGTATTTGACGGAGTGTTACCCTATAGGTGGAGAATAACGAACTGTTGATTTGACAATCCTGGTGAAATCCACCCTTAATCCTTTATATTTGTAACGTGACTGTTTTTACCTACGTGTGATGATTTGTAGTGTTTGTTTTCTATACGTATTGCTTGTCACTCACTTATTTCATCTTATTTGTTTTTCGTATTAGGTAGGTATTTATTTAACTTTAATAATACTGACTGTAAGCACATTTTGTGTGAAAAGAGAATTAAATTACCACCACTACCACGTGTTCGCTCTATATACTTTCCCTCTTTATACTTCGAGTTTGTCAAAAAATGTAAAATACCATATTTGTAGTAAATTTTACTCTCTACAAAAAATGGTAGTTTTATACTTTCTATACACGCTTAGGCCCTTAAGCGGAAATATCATTATATCTAACCTTTACCATTTGATTTCTCATAACGTGTAGATTATACTTAAAATTCTCCTAGCAGCAAGATTATCAAGAATTTAATTCCTTACAAAATTGTTCCTATTACTTCTTTACATAGGATCTAAGGTTTTAGAGATTTTTGATCAAATGCGCTTATTAAAATGGCAACAAACACTCCAACCACATCATGACGCAAATTGAAACTTATGATTAGAAAGCAATAATCTAACAATCACTCCAAAAGTTTCGTGTTGCAAAAGTTTTTGAATTTCCTATGTCTTGGGACGGATGAGGCACCACATAACTACGTTTCAAAGATATTTATTCTACAATACTTGCCATATCACAATAAATGATTAAAAAAATAAATTTGTCTTGATTTATCAGTCTACTTGGGTAACATTATTCCGCAACGGCTTCATTTCTCTTCATGATCGCTTGGTTCAGTTTTCTTATATACTCCTATCGGCGAGACTGTTGGTTCTCCATGGATTCCTGGTACATCTGCAGTATTTGGTTGTCCCCATAATCTGTAACGAGTTCATATTATGAAGGTTACAGTTAGTTCATTGTTTTCTAGATTTTTACAAGTATTTTTAGCTAGCGAGCTGCACAGGGTATCCCAGAATATATTATATGGTCAATCACTTGGACTGGATCTATCTTGGAAAAATGCTACCGCTGAATGTAATAATTTTCGATTTGAACACCCTGTATACCTTCGGTCGAGACCATAGTCACTTTTTTGAGCAAAAAGTTGAATCGAACTAGTTTGTATGTACTAAAAGTTTTGGCACAAAATTCATTGGATTTAAATTTAATGAGCACAACATAATCAAGTTGCCTTTGGAAACAAAAGTTTGTTTACTTACTTTACTGTCATTTAACATTTATTTATTTTGAAGTTTTCGCTTTAAGATGTCGAGTACATTAGAGAGATTGGTGAGAAGAGCAACAATTCAGGTTGGAATGTCAACAAGGAGACTGGCTCGTCAATACAGACTTTTTAAGAGTGGTCTTATACAGGGTGTTCCTTAATGCTATGCCTATATTTGAGAGTGTGAAAGTACATGAAAAATTAATGTTAGTTGGCTTTATAGACTATGGTCCAAAAATGTTTCTTTACAAAAACTCGGGTTGTTGAAGTTTTAGGAAAAAAATGGAAATTAATATTTTCAGAATCGCTTAAGATATTTCATTGATATTTAGCACGTAGTGGAAGTTGAGAAAGTTGGATATTTTTCAATGCAAAAATAGTTTTTAGCTTTAACAGTGTGGTCCGTACGGGTACTGAGTTCGATATTTTTTAAGAAAAAAATGGTACGCCAATGGTTTTTTGCCAAGTCCCCGTTCAATTGAAAACAAATAATCTTTCTTGATTTGTTTTCCTTTGATGCGCTATTTTTGAGTAAAAAAATAAAAACCATTCTATTGTCTAACTTGCAAAGTTATTATTAATTTAATTGGAAAAACAACTGACAACATAAACATAACATTAAAACCAACGAAATGATTACAAAAAATGTTGAAAATGTCCCTCTGCACTTAGAATTGCGCACTCGTTGAAATATCCCTGGAGTGTCTTTTATTCTATCACAAGCTGCAACTATTCTTTCTCTTAATTACTCTACAGTCTTAATTTGACTTGAGTACACTAGTGTCTTAAGATATTGTTTCCTATTACTAACGGAACATCATCAAGCAGCAAAGGCAACTGTTGTTGAAGAAAATTGAGGTAAATCTGTCCGTCAAGTCATCCCGGCAAGAAGAATGGCCCAATAATGTGGTTGCCAATAATTCCTGCCCATACGTTAACCGAAAATTGGTGTTGGAAGTGGGTTTCGGTTACAGCATAGGAATTTTCTTCTGCGCACAAATGGTTATTGTGGAAATCCTGAATGGCATTTCGAGAAAAATTAGCTTCGTCCATGAACAGAATCATTGATTCAAATTGCGGATTTTGTGTAATTTGTTTAACATACCATTGACATTGGAATATCAATGGGAGGTAATGCCTGTACTCTTAAAATATGGTAAAGATATAACAAAAATCCACTAAAATTCTCCAAAGAATTTGATGGCAAATATTTAAATGTCTAGCGATCTTCCTAGTACTCGTTTCAGGATATTCTTCGACTTCCTGCAGCACGGCTTTCTCAATTTCAGGTGTTCTCACACTTAAAGGTCTACCTTCATATGTTCGTTTTCGGACAGAGCCAGTTTCAACAAGGTGTCGATGAATATTAGAAAAGGTTCCACTATCCACTATCCACTAAACTTTATCCCACTGAAAAATTATATGCAGATGTTCGAATGTATGATATAAGACAGCTTTATTTCTTACACAGTATCACTCACTACCATAAATTTGTAAACACCGACCAAAAAATTAAACATAATCATTATACCAGGTACAAAATTCGTGGCACAGTAGTTCCTCAACCGCATAAATCTATAATGCAGCGATCATATCTCTATTTAGGGCCTAAATTTTATGAAATTATACCTAAAGACTTAAAAGATTTACATTTCGGAAATTGTTTCAAAAGAAATTTAAAAAAGTGGCTACATTCTATATCTAGGACTGAAATTCATAAACTCATAAATACGAACATCAACTAAATACATAATCTACTGTAGCTAATTTTTGTCCTTTTTTGTCATTTGCATTCTACAGTTTCAACTTAAATTATTGGTCCATGTACAGGCGATGCCTTCTATTGGGCCTGTTTTGATTTTATATTTATTTACTCATATTGTTTGTTATCTTTGTACATTGAGTAAATAAATATTATTATTATTATTATTATTATTATCTGGCAAAGCACGATCGGGATATCTCTGGTGATAAATTCGTCTGGCTTGCTCACCATTACCGTCGGCAAGGCCATACACGTAATGCAATTCCGCCATTTCTACATTTGAATAATTCTTCATTATTAACAGGATTGTAAAAACTAAATAAAGATGTCACGGCGAACAGATTTGAATAACAAAGACTTGTCAGATGTCAAAAGCCAGTGACATATTCCAGAGCAACTAGATATTCATTGCTAGATTGCATTCTTGAATTATTACATTAATTTTCTCGGACAGTACAACCGTTTTTATTTTTTTAATCAAAAATAGCACGTTAAAATAAAACAGTCCAACAGAGATCATTTGTTTTTAATTGAACGGGGAATTCAAAAATAATTTTTGTTTGGCAAAAACCATTGGCGTGCCATTTTTTTCTTAAGAAATATCGAAGTCAATATCCGTACGCACTCCACTGTTGAAGCTAAAAATTATTTTTGCATTGAAAAATACGCAGCTGTGTTAACTTTCACCACGTACTAAATGTCAGTGAAATATCTGAAGCGGTTCTGAATATATTAATTAATTTCTATTTTTTTCCTAAAACTTCAACACCCAAGTTTTCATAAGGAAACATTTTTAGACCATAGTTTATGAAGCAAACTAAAATTGATTTTTCATGCAGATTCACGCTCTTAAATATTCACATACCATTAAGGAACACCCTGTCTACACATATCTGGTTTTCTAATAGGAACTTGACAACTTTGAACTTTCAAATCAAATACCGAATTGTGAATGTCAAAACATTCAGTAAAGAACACATTTTCATCATGGTGAAGTATACGATTGAACAGCGCTTGCAAACATTAAAAATTTACTACCTTAATTCCGAGTCGGTGACTGCAACTTTAAGAGCGTTAACGCAAATTTTTTGTCGTAATTCTCGTCCCACTAGACAATCAATTCATAGTCTAGTAAACAAATTTGAGTCCACATATTCGCTTTTGGATGTTCCCGTGCCAGTGAGACGACGAGTTCCGTCGTAAACGAATAGAACACGTCGATTCCACGGCGTTCTCAAGAATTGGGCATCGCTCAGACCACACTCTGGCGAATTCCGTGAAGAGATCTTGGCCTGCATCCTTATGAGATCAACCTAAATCAAGAACTGAAGTCGTTCGATCGCATGAACCAACGTACGTTCTCGAATTGGGCTCTAGAAATGTTTCAAGAAAATGACCAATTTCATCGCAAAATCATCTTCAGCTATGAGGCTCATTTTGGGCTAAACGGCTTCGTCAACAATCAGAATATGCATTATTGGTCAGGTCAAAATCCTTGTGTGCTTCAAAAAACACCACTTCATCCACAAAGAATGCGGTTTTCATGCCGGTGTTGTTACTGGGCGTTTTTTTTTTTCGTTGATCAACATGACCGTCACGTTAAAGTCAGTTACGGAGATCGCTACAGAGACATGTTGCAACGTTATTTGTTTGGTCAATTGGACGGGATAGACAGGAGTTCCCAACCAGGGGGGCGCGCCTCCCAAGGGGGACGGAAAGCTTTTGTATTTTAGAAAGAAAAAGAACAAAACGAAATAAACAAACAACATTAACAAATAACATTACAATGTAATGTTTAATTTACACGCATACAATTAGAAATTAAATATCATATTCACGACGAGGATGAGCATCTGTGACATTCTTTCCCACAAAGTTGCGAAAAATTTGACGTTTCGATGTACATGTTTAATTAAGAAATCTGTTTAAGTGTACTAAAAGGTAAGTTTATGTATTTACAAACTTCAGTTACAATTTTTATTGAATTTACTAAATTGTTGATTTAGTGGAGACGCGTTCATAGATCGTCCATTGGGACTTTTTTACCACATCACAATCAAACCAACGTGGCGATATAATTTTCAAACGACGAACTTTAAATATTTAATATATTGATTCCAAATGTATTTACAATTACTATTATAACGTCAACCTGCCTACAAAAACATAAATCTCCCGGTGGCCAATATACTGTTGAATACATTACGTTATTAAGATAAAATAATGGGCATATAATTAGTAATTACATGTACGTATTTTGCTTATTTATTTATTTCTTATTTGTTTTATTGTTATAGGTGCAAAATGGCAACGAAAAAAAAAAAGAAAGTTTTACAGAGATTACGTTAAGTTTGGATTTACCTTCATAGAAAAAGATAATTTACAATTGCCTCAGTGTGTGATGTCTATGAAAGTTTTAAGCAATGATAGCATGAGGCCCATTCGCCTTGAAAGGCATTTGGAGCAACAACATCCTACTCTGGTTTTGAAGACGGAAGATTTTTTTTTTCTAAAACAGAGTCACTCAACCCAAAGAGACTGCATAAATCGGGAAGTTATCACACAGGTGTATCGTAGCATCTCAAATCTTCATTTGAAATAGCCTTTGTGATAACAAAGCCAAGGAAACATCATACGAGGGATGTCTTTTAAGTTTTGCATATAGAAACATAGTAGGTCGCGCAGATCGAACGTCAGTACTGAATCTTAATCTCACTCTTTAGTAAACATAAATTCAAAGTTTCGGAACAATACGTACAGTGTTCTCACTACAATGATTTTTTGTGTCACCAAGTCAGTAGAAAAATGAAACTCAACCGAGAACATTTTCGCGCCATAATTTATTACAACTTTCAGAGACAATTATCGCAACAAGAATGCCTTGCTGAGTTACTGTCTGTTTTCGGCAACGAAGCGCAACATCAGTCGACAATTTCTCGTTGGTATGGAGAATTCAAACGTGGATGGGTGAGTCTTAGGGACGATCCCAGAGTGGGTGCACCAAAACCGGCAGTCACCCAGGAAAACGTTGATGCTGTGCGCAAACTCATCTTTGAAGATATACACATGACATATCGCGAGATTGAGGCGTCCTTGAAGATCTCACAGACCTCAATTCAAAAAAATTTACATGAAGAATTAGTAGTAAGAAAATTAGTTTCTCGTTGGATACCCCACCTGTTGACTGAAGAGCAGAAAGCAGCCAGGGTTAATGGGTGTCAAAAAACGCTTTTTCGTTTCAATTCCGGATACTCAAAAAATGTGTACAGAATTGTTAGTCGTGACGAATCGTGGACTTACTGTTATGAACCCGAAAATAAACGACAGTCGGCTATTTGGGTGTTCCAAGGTGAAGAAAAGCCAACAAAAGTCATCCGTTCTCAAAGTGTTTCGAAAAAGATTGTCGCGACATTGGTGTCAAAAACGGGTCATATTGCAAAAATTCCTCTTAATGAGCAAAGAACTGTTACTGCGGATTGGTATATCACCTTTCGTTTCCCAAAAGTCATCACCGAGCTTCGAAAAATGAACCCCGAAAGAAGAATCATCCTCCACAAAGACAATGCAAGCTCGCACACAGCCCAAAAAACAAGGCGGTATTTAACGGAAGGAAACGTGGAATTATTGGACCATCCTCCATATAGTCCCGATCTAAGTCCTAACGACTTCTTCACTTTCCCGAAAATTAAAAACAGACTGCGTGGTCAAAGGTTCCAGTCACCAGAAGAAGCAGTTGACGCATTCAAAAATGCCGTTTTGGATCTGCTAGCAAACGAGTGGTATACGTGCTTCGAAAATTGGATGCAGATGTGTATTAATCTTCGTGGAGAATACTTCGAAAAACAATAAAGTCATTTAAAGCTACCGTGTTTTTTTATTTCCATATGCAAAACTTAAAAGACATCCCTCGTACTATCAGTGAAGAAGTGATAAGACCATGTGTCCTAAAACCAGACAGATAATTTTAGGAGAAGATGCAGAGCAAAAAATGAAGTCTATTTCTCTTTCGAATAAAACAGCCGAGCGTAGAATCGATGACATTGCAGCAGACATAAAATCACAAATAACAAAGTAAAATTATCGCCATTTTTTGCCATTAGTTGCGATGAATCCACCGACATCGTTTATTGTGCACAGTTTATATTTGTTACATCGGCAGAGATATCATTCAAGAAGAGATTTGGTACTCCCAATCTTTGACAGCAGGTACTACATCTGAAGATATATTTCATTCAATATCAAATTTTGTTGAAAAAAAATATTTGGATTGGAAGAAACTCATTGGACTTTGCACAGATGGCACACTTGCAATGATAGGTGTACGATCGGGCTTAGCTAAAAAGCTCAATGAGAATAATCCCGTAATGGTTAGTACAGATTGTGTTATTCATCGGCAAGGTTTGGCTCCCAAAACATTGCCACAGAAATTACGGCTTTTGACTCGGCTATAAGGATTGTAAACTTCCCCAAGAGCAGCGCTTTGAACAGTCGGTTATTAACTTTACTTTGCGAGGATCTCGATTCTGATCACAAAGTTCTTCTGTTCCATACAGAAGTATGCTGGCTGTCCAAATGCTCGCCTTTCTGAATTGAAAAAAGAAGTAATTCTTTTTCTTGAGTTCAAAGAAAAATAAGATTTCTTGACAATGTTCAAAGATGACAAATTTGAATGGAGGTAGACTTATTTAACTGACATATTTGACTCCTTGAATGAGCTAGTCTTGAATCTTCAGGGCAGAAACAACACTATAGTAAGCAAATATGATTATATCCAGGGGTTCATATCAAAGCTGCTTCAACAAAAGTGTCTTTTGAAAATGTTATATCTTTTTCTCGGCTGTTCGAACAAATTAAAAATAACATACTCGACGCAAATTTAAAAGCTGACGTAAAAACTCATTTGCAAGCGCTGGAACACGAATTTCGCCGATATTATCGAGACATCAATTCAGAATGACCAATATGGCACATGACAAGAAATCCATTTGTTGTCGATATGTCACAATTACCAGAAGAAGGTCAGGGAGAATTTCTAGAAATGAAGGCTGATTCGTCCACGAAAGATGACTTCCATCTTTTAACATTGGAGAAATTTTGGATGAAAAGATTGCCTGTTAATTCGACACTTCCCTCTCTTGCTTTACGAATGCTAGTTCCTTTTTATTCAACTTACTTATGTGAGACATGCTTTTCTGCTCTAGTTTTAATTAAAACTAAACAGCGAAATCGTCTTGATATCGATAGCAATCTGATGATAGCCCTAGCAAAAACAGAACCTAGAATCGACCAACTGGTACAGAACTTGCAATCTCAAGTGTCTCACTAGTACCTACTCCTATTTTATTCAAGATTTTCGATAAAAAACATTTATTAGTTTATTTAAACTTTTAAAGTTTCTTTATTGGAATTAAAATAAAAGTCCCTATAAGTCCCTATAAGTAGAAGTATAAGTACCTATACAGGGTGTCCGCAAAGTTGGGGTTTTCCTTTTCAGAAGCAACTACCCTTGAAATAACAAAGGTAATGTGTAGTGAAACGAGGGCGCCCAAGTAAAAAAAAAAATAAAGGAAAAAGTACTCACTCTCCAGTTGACGAGAAGCGCTAAGTACGTCTCTGCCCGAAATCATACCGCTCCAACAGAAAATGAAATCAGCTGTTGCGCTACCGAGCAGACGCCGGCGGTGGTGCAGACCACGAACAGAGGTAACAAATATGACCATCGTGCAGAAACCACATTGATTGTCTTACACTTAATGGCACATCTTCTAACAAGGAAGGCAAAATGTTGCGTAAAAAGTCTAGGTATTGCATCCCGTCCAATCGATTTGGGAGAATAAATGGTCCAATGAGCATACCGTTCACCATGTCAGCCCAAACATTCACCGAAAATGTTTGTTGAAAATGTGCCCGACGGACAGCGTGCGGATTTTCTACTGACCAAACATGAGTGTTGCGAAAGTTATTCACCCCATTACGCGTGAACGTAGATTCGTCCGTCACCAATATGCACTTCAAAAATTCCGGATTATTGTCATGTTCATGCAACAACCACTCACAAAACCGCACTCTTGCTGGAAAATCGTCAGGTTGAAGGGCTTGTACACGGTGGACGTGAAACGGATATAGCCCCTCTTCACGATGCGTTTGCCACACTTTAGTTTTTGATACTTGCACTTCTCTAGCCACGTCTCTAGTGCTTGTTGCTTTTGAAACGCAATCGATTATACGGGTTCGTTTACCTCTACACGCGTGACCGTAACTGTCGGTTGAAGTTTGCTTCTGACCTGACACACTGACCCCGACCCAGTTCTGTCGTCGGGTTGAGCTAGTGTCCTAGTACCACTCGGGGATATCGCGAGTCGCGGCTACAGGACGGTATTAAGATATTTTTGATGTTGCAGAGCCCTTTATCTCGGTTCCCTTAAGACATTGGTGTATATGGTACTAAGAAAAATTGCTTATGTTTTCAAGATCTATACGTCGTGTAAAGGAAAACCCCAACTTTGCGGACACCCTGTATAATGTGCGTTTATTTGTATTTATTGAAAAAGTAAAGGGGGGGGGGGGGGGGCATGAAAATATAATTTATAGTCAATGAGAATGTTGAGAAAGCCTGGGCTAGACATTAATGATTTGTGGTTCCAACAAGGCGGTGCCACAAGCCACACAGTGAGTGAAACAACCGACATATTGAAATCAAAATTCGAGGAACGTGTTATAACGAGAAATGGTCCTTTCGAATGGACGCCTAGATCGGGTGATTTAACACCTGTAGATTTTTTTGTGGGGCTACATTAAACCATTGGTCTATGTCAACTAGCCGGCGTCGTTGGATGAGCTCAGAGCCAATATTGAACGAGAGATAGCGGTCGCTTCTGTCGAAATGTGTGGCCGAGAGAGATTGAAAATTTTGTTCAACGAATCGATCGCTGCGAACATGTCCGTGTTGGCCATATTAACGAGGTCGAATTCCATACATAAACGTTTTGAGTATACTTCAATCCAATAATAAAACTTTGGAGATATCTCAAATGGTTTGCTTTTTATTTAAAAGTCCTTAATGCAAAACCCTTCACCTTCAGTATGAAGTTTGAAAATGAGGCGCTCTGAATGGAGTGGTCAAATTGAAGCGGTACACCTCGCGCATGGATTTGCATAAAGAGATCGTTTAACTGCACCTCAGAAACACCCGCGTACTATGGAATAATTGGCATAGTTTTCCTCGAAGCAATCCATAGGATCACTTTATCGGAAAGAATCTTAGGACCAACCACCATGTATAAAAGTAAGTTCACGAAGCTTAGAAAATATGTTATCAACTTACCCGCAGGTAAATATCTTAATGCAGCAGATCCCCAGAACCATCTTGACTGAACGGCTTGTCAACTATTCTAACATCTGTTTATCCGCTACTTCAATTATTAATCAAAAGCGCTCACCCAATCAAATGAATCTACACCTATTCGCGATAAACTTATATACACACATCCTGAAATAATTTAGATTATGCTTTACAGCATTACTAATTGATATTTCTGCAATTGAGTCACCGAAAAAATGGCAGGAATGGAAAAACGTACATAGCTGGCGATAGCATTGTTCTCTTTTCACTTGTATTTATTAATTCAAGCAACCTGTGAATAAATTCAATATTAGTTTCATTTCAGGAAGCTCTAAGAAATGGTAACATCAAGGTTAATACTGTTATCTCCTATACAATGCTATTGAATACACAATATAGCACAGTAGCTGTTTATAAAATGCTGCATATTTATCTACAATGAATGCCAGGTTCAAGACCCTTGCCTCTCGGCATCAACAAAGCTTCTGTCCGGACTTGAGTCCTGCCATTGTATTGAAGAGATGTGCACCGGAGCTTGAGCTCCAGTCTTCTTCTTCTTTATTCCTTATTGCTTCTGTACACGTGTACAATCCGTAAGCTCATTTGTTGTGACTGTACTTAGTCTGGCTCTCGGTCATGTACGAGTCACTGTATTGTTACGAATCCACGTGTAGAAATGCTGGAAAATATATCTATATCTTCTGCTGTATTGTTTCTAGAGCTGAGGTGTTGCTATTTATGATTGATGAAAACCTTTGCTTTTGCTTTGCAAAATGGTGTGGGGAGGTTAGTCACAGGTATAGACTTTTCTCGTACCCGGGCAACGGAGGTACATTACACACACCCTAAACGTTGCCGCGGAAAAGGATTAGCACCCAGGGTTTCAAAAGATGGGGATCTGAAACAGTTATAATATTATTTTATTTGTCTGAATGAAGTAGGTTAATAGGTATATGACTTTCATGTTGATATTTGCAAGTATTAGTATAATGTTAAAGGGAGCATTGACTCCAGCTTTTCTTATCTCTTCGTATAGATTAAAATCTAATATTTGATTTATTGGGCATTCTAATAGTATATGATTTAAATCTGCATATTGTCCACAATCACAGAAGGGGTCATCTTGCATTCCTATTTTGAGCATGTGAGCTTTATATCTTGCATGTTCCGTTCTCATTCTGATTATGGCTGTTAGGTGTCTTCTGCTTATATACGGGATTTTGGAATAGAATGGTTTGACCGGAAATTCATCTTTTATTTTCTTATACCACCTGCCTTTGTTGATGAATGTTCGTTTCCACATTGTTGTGAATTTCTCCTTTATTTTTGTTTTGGCCTTGGTTAGTATATCGGGTATAGTAACTTTCGTATCTTGTGGGATTCTGAGTTGTCTTCCTAAGTTAGCTAGGGTGTCTGACGTTTCATTTCCTCTAATGTTTGAGTGTCCTGGGATCCAAGCCAGTTCAATATTGTATCCTTTTTCTGCAGCTTCGTGAATTAGCTTTCTTGTTGCGAGGCAGCCATATTCTGAGTTAGCGTCCA